CTGGCCCCAATCTTTTGAACGGTAGTCTATGTTTATGCTGACTATCAGTGTTAGTTGTGTGTATTTTGTTTCTCATCAGCTGTGACTCTCTCTTTCCTGTACAGGAAGGCATTCTGGGATTGATTGAGCCAATCAACACCAGGATCACAGACCCACGATATTTCCTCGACTCCCCACACCAAGGTAAGAAGGTTTTTCCTAAGCATGATTATGTGTATTTTGATTCCTGATGATTTACGCCTGTGTTTTTGTCTTCATCACACTTTCTGCAGCCGCAGTGATTCTACAGAGAGTCGCTCATCCCAGCATCAGGATGCAGATGGTGAGTGAGCTTTACCACTCAAGCTTTATTTTTAGTCATTGTTAGCATTATTATTCATTAAACTTTTTCATGAAGCTTATTCATGAAGATCTATCTATCTGTCTGTCTCTCTCTGTGTGTGTCTGTCTGTCTCTCTCTGTGTGTGTGTGTGTCTGTCTGTCTCTCTCTCTCTATCTATCTCTGTCTGTCTGTCTGTATATCTATCTATATGTCTCTCTCTGTGTCTGTCTGTCTGTGTCTGTCTGTCTGTCTGTCTATCTATCTATCTATCTATCTATCTATCTGTCTGTCTGTCTATCTATCTATCTATATGTCTGTCTGTCTGTCTGTCTGTCTCTCTCTGTGTTTGTCTGTCTGTGTCTATATCTGTCTGTCTGTCTGTCTATCTATCTATCTATCTCGCTATCTGTCTGTCTGTCTGTCAATCTATCCGTCTGTCTGTCTGTCTGTCTCTCTCTGTGTTTGTCTGTCTGTGTCTATCTATCTGTCTGTCTGTCTGTCTGTCTGTCAATCTATCCGTCTGTCTGTCTGTCTGTCAATCTATCTGTCTGTCTCTCTCTGTGTCTGTCTGTCAATCTATCCGTCTGTCTATCTGTCTCTCTCTGTGTCTATCTATCTATCTATCTATCTATCTATCTATATCTATCTGTCTGTCTGTCAATCTATCCGTCTCTGTCTCTCTCTGTGTCTCTGTCTGTCTATCTATCTGTCTGTCTATCTGTCTGTCTCTTTGTGTCTGTCTGTCTGTCTATCTATCTGGCTCTCTGTCTGTCTGTCTATCTGTCTGTCTGTCTATCTATCTGGCACTTCTGTCTCTCTCTGTGTCTGTCTGTCAATCTATCCGTCTGTCTATCTATCTGTCTCTCTCTGTGTCTATCTATCTATCTATCTATCTATCTGTCTGTCTGTCAATCTATCCGTCTCTGTCTCTCTCTGTGTCTCTGTCTGTCTATCTATCTGTCTGTCTATCTGTCTGTCTCTTTGTGTCTGTCTGTCTGTCTATCTATCTGGCTCTCTGTCTGTCTGTCTATCTGTCTGTCTGTCTGTCTATCTGGCTCTCTCTCTCTCTATCTATATATCTATCTATCTATCTATCCATCCGTCTGTCAATCTATCCGTCTGTCTGTCAATCTATCTGTCTGTCAATCTATCCGTCTGTCTGTCAATCTATCTGTCTGTCTCTATCTATCTATCTATCTATCTATCTATCTGTCAATCTATCCGTCTGTCTATCTATCTATCTGTCTGTCTGTCTATCTATCTAGCTGTGTCTGTCTATCTATCTATCTATCTCTCTCTCTCTGTCTGTCTGTCTATCTATCTATCTATCTATCTATCTGTCTCTCTCTCTCTCTCTATCTATCTATCTGTGTGTGTCTGTCTGTCTGTCTATCTATCATTTTTGTTTTATTTCTGCACTGAATTTCTGCACCCAAACAAAGTCTTACTGAAAGATTTTTTTTAGATATCTTCTTCAAATTGGGAAAATATATATTTCATGTAAAATGTAAATGTAATAGTACTAGTAATTTAACTTTGTGCATTTTTCATAACAATAAACTTAAACTTCTATAACTTTTTTTTTTAGTTCCACTTTTTTAATGGCAATTTTTAATTTTCCAAATGTCTTCATTAAAAAGAGACTAAACTTAAGTCTGTGCTCCAAAGCATTCAAGATTTATGACTGTTTTAGTTGGAAATCTCATTTTCAGGGCCATGTAAGAAGTGCATAGCAGGTAATAAATGGATCATAACTATTCCATAAATATAACTTAGCACAATGAAATCCCCTAAAAACACAAAATATTACATAGACACTGAAATTTTGTACATTAATTTTGCTTGAAAAAAATATAAATAATCTGTTATTTTTGCCTGCCACATGAGCAGCACCAGAAGGCTAGAAACCACATTACAGTCCACTAAAAACAGCTCAGCGACCACATAGTCAAAGCACTGTGGTTTTCTGTGAGAATCTAGTTATCTGCTCTTTCAACCTGTTGTGTTCTGCATTTTACCTTAATTGCAGCCATGAGAAATGAGCATCACCTGAAGTCATTTTCACATATCTCATTCCGGAGCGGCTGCACTGCACATGCTGTCCGTTCCAGGATAATAAAATCACTCTCAACGCTCTTTGATTCCTGCGCTGAATCAATGATATGAGGGGAGTTTGTGCATTAGGCAGCTGCTGTGTTTCAGTGTGTTTCTAGACGGCTCTCTGTCTCCAGCTCAGTCTGCAGTCTTCAACAACAACATCACTAATCTGTCTCTCTGCTTTTACAGGACATCTACCACTGGCAGATCATGGATGGCAACCTAACACAGAATATACGCAAATACTTACCAATGACAGGTAAATGTATATATATATATATATATGCATCAAGTCTCCTGCAGTGTTTTTTGGTGAAACTTTTTTGGTGAGACTTCTGGCTCTTCCAAAAACTAAAATCACCTTTGAAGGGGACCGAGGCATCATTGTCCTATGTACAATGTTTTTAATATCTTGTATCTTTTTCAATAAATGTCTCTATTTTTCATATTACATGGCTGGATACTTTCCATACAGCCTTTGTAAAAAAAAAAAAAAAAACCTTTGTATTTCAGCTAGCTGTCAAGGCAACATTTCTCATTTTAATTTAGTTTAACTTGATGTACTACTAAAACTGAAATAAAAATGTCAATGCCAAGTAACACTGCTCTTAAAGTCAGTCTGATTAGATTTTATGTACTTTTTTAATAGTTTTATTGAGAATGAATGATTCCTCGGTGCATTTGGTCACACTTTATTTTAAGGTCAAATTCTCGTCGATAACAAACCATTAACTACGACTTCAATAAACTCCTAATTTGCTGCTTATTAATAGTTAGTAAGGTAGTTGTTAAGTTGAGGTATTGGGTAGGATTAGGGATGTAGAATATGGTCATGCAGAATATGTGCTTTTTAAGTACTAATAAACAGCCAATATGTTAATATATAACATTGTATTCTAATAAGCAACTAGTGAATTGTGTTTTTTTTTTCACATACTGTTAGTTTTTGTTAATATCTTGAATTACATTTTAGATTTTGGTTATAGTAATTTTGTGTTTTTGTAATTTTTATTACTATATAGTTTTTATGTATATTTAGTTTGTTATTTTAGTACGTCAACAAACTAAAAATAAGAAATGTTGAAATGTAAAAAAAAATATATATATATATTTTCACTTAATATTTGTTTCATTTCAAGTTATATATATATTAATGTTTTAGTTAACAATAATAGCCCTGCTCTGCACTGGGCCAGAAACATCCATGCATTGCAAAGTAAAATCTGTCCATTGACTCACGGTTTTACCGCTGTCACAGGTCACATCCAGATCGCTCAGGTTCCTGACCGCCACGAGCCGGACAGCGACGGAGAGCTCAGTTACACGTATCTCTTCAAGCTGCTGGAGGAGCTGGACTATCAGGACTACATCGGCTGTGAATACAAACCTCAGCGTGAGTCAGAGTCACTGGACACTTGGCTTTATGCCGTTTTTAACATTTGAATGCTCACCATCGCTTTTACAGCATGAAACATATCCATCAGGATATACTGTATGTTGACAAGTCCATAGATGAAAATCGAAATAATGTTGCACAAAAACATTGTAAAGATATTTTGTGAGTCTAAATCTCATTTACTCATTGATATGCTTCATTTCCAGACTGCAGCCACTGTGACAGTTCAACAACTCTTAGATTGCAATGAGTATAGAGTGAAATTTCATTGATAGTTCATATTTGTAAATGTGATTGTCCAGGTTCCACAGAAGCGGGTCTGGACTGGCTCAGAAGATACTGGAGCAGCCACAACTGATGAGCAGCTTCACTTCTTCAGTTCCTGCTTCTTCTAAAAGGCAATCATGTATTAAAATGACAAGACTGTAATTTTCTAAAGCTTAAAATTGACCCATAGACTCCCATTTTCAGTTGTTTTATTAATATTTCACTTGTCAGTAGCTATGAAATGTTAATTTGTCTGTCTCTCAAGGCATTGCATATGAAGAACACTTCAGATGTTTTAATTTAAGATTTATTGTTAAGTGTTTTTCTTACAAATCCGCATCTATATACAGAATGTACAAATTATTTTTTCACACATTTGAATTGCTAATTCAGCTTCTAACATTTTAATAAATCTTTCTTTCAAAAATGTCCAGTGTGCTTCAAAAAAAAAAAAAAACAGTAAAACATTTTCATTCTTCAGTTTCTGTCACTGCAGGAGGTAAGACATTTGCTTTCCTTCATGTGAAATGAGTGTCGAGTCCAGTGTCGTCTCAGCGCTGTGCTAGTTAGTAAGACTAATCGTTACCCGCTCTTTATGTTGAAGGTACGGGAAGACCATGTGACTAATTTAAAGGGACAGTTCACCCAAAAATTAAATCCTGTCATCATTTACTCACCATTGTGCGGTTCCAAACCCATATGCATTACTTTTAGCTGCTGAACACAAAAGATATTTTAAAGAATGTTCGTTACCAAACAGCTGACGGTAGCCATTGACTTCTATAGTATTTTTTTTTTCTCCACACTATGGAAGTCAATGGCTACCGTCAACTGTCTGGTTACCAACATTCTTTAAAACATCTTTTGTGTTCAGCAGAAGAAACAAACTCATACAGGTTTGGAATGACATGAGGCTGAGTAACTTATGACAGAATTTCATTTTTGGGTGAACTGTCCCTTTAAGAGATTCATCTTGAAAGGTGAACATAATACACTAGCTAGCTCCCATCAAGTTCATATGAAAATAAAATAAAGGCACTTTCGGGATGAAAAAACGGCAGTAAAGACAATCATGTTGGTCAAAAAAAAAAAAAATGCACATAGGCTACAGAAACGACATCAGCAACTGAGAGGAGATGGAGAAAACACAGAACAAATGAACACTAGACTACAGAAGGACAGTATGGCTTTGGCAAACCAGCGGAGTTTCACACGCAATAAATACACCCTCCTGGATAATTGCCCTTCAATCAACAGGGCGGCGCATTTAGCCGGTTTCCTGTGCAAAATGTTGGCAATTCAATTGCTTAAATGGATGCAACCTGGCTGACGCAGCACGCATTACACACACGAGACGCATTCAGTCTCAGTCTGCGAGCGACGGGCGGCTCAAAGCTCAATCTTTGCACAAACCGACTTCAGACTCTTGACTCCGTCTGATGCACCGCTGGCAGAAACACAGGTTCACAGCAGGCCCGTCCAGAGGTTGTAGCAGGCGGTGTTGATGACCGACTCCAGATGGTGGTACATGGAGACCAGCTGCGGTGGAGGACTGCTGCTCGACTGCGTCTGCGCAGGCAACGGCTCCCTGAAAACCACCTTCAGACTCTGGAGGCAGCAGAAGACGAGGTGAAACAGCGAGATTTACAGTGGGATCATGTTCGATGAGCAAGAAATGAATGAATCTCATCTGGCAAGAACAGATCCAGGTTGCATTTCACCTCACAATCATAAGTATATTTAATAATAAAATTAAATAAATGAAAAGTATATTTTGCAGCTCAATAAAAGCATATTCACATCCCAGTTCCAATGACAATGGAAAAAAATAAAATAAAATTACTGTAACAGGACAAAAAGGTAAATAATAAAATAATAATAATAAAAAAAAGAAACAAATACAATCAATGTTATTTAGCATTATTTATGCATCATGATAGTATTTGTACTGCTTTTAAATTATAAAAATTGAATATTTAAATAATTGGGCTGTAATATAGTCAGAATTTAGTGTCAATAATAATTGTGTAATCATTAATAATAATAATTAAAAGAAAACATGCATTATGGCAATGAGAACTAGGAGAAAAATGTTTAAAAATATAATGCATAATATATAATTTTACACTTAATATAATAATAATATTATATATACATATTATTGCTATAATTAAAGCAGAAATGAAATAATGTGAAATTAATAAATAATAAAATTAAATAAAATAAGAAATTAAAATACAAGGTTAACTCACCGTTTTTCCTGCCTGTGTGTCCAGGAAAACGAGCACAAAACAGTCTGTGAACTTCTGGTTCAGGACGGCCTGGAAAAGAGAGAGTTTATGCCCAAACAACACACCATTTAAACATTAAACATCTCGACTCCAGATGTTTCTTTTCATTTTTAAATTGAACCCTGATCTTCACAATCAATTTAACGTTGTGAATTTGTGCTCAGCATTAGGAAACACAGCGTCAGCCTCAGGAAACAAAGGCAGGTGTTGTTTGTGTGTATATGAAGGATGAAATGATCATCAGTTCAGGAAATCTGCATAAGCCCACAACATCTCTAATTACAGAATGCAGCATGAAGTGGCTTTCAAACACACTTGAGGATCTGATGATTATCATCACATGAACTAGTACACAGGCACTGAGGTCTCATAATGTACCACGCTTTACCACATGCTTCCCTGGCCTCAAGTAACCGAGTTCAAGGTCTTTCCAGGAGAATAATGATTCAAGAGTGCTTTGCCATCAGCGCTTCCCGTCTCGTAATGTACTATGACACGGCCAACAGGACTAACATCTCACACGACCCACAACACGACTGTACGGCCTGAGGATCTGCTTCATGTGCAAAGCTGAAAATGAACACTAAAGATCTAGACTGTGAATATGAGCTTAAAAAAAGGAATAAGAATATTGAAGTGCTATTGGTCTCTGCAAATCTTGCTTTTCTTTTTATTTCCATAAAATTATGGAGCAGCACAACTGTTTTCAACATTGATAATAATCAGAAATGTTTCTTGAGCAGCAAATCAGCATATTAGAATGATTTCTGAAGATCATGTGACACTGAATACTGGAGTAATGATGCTGAAAATTCAGCTTTGATCACAGAGAATAAATTACATTTGAACATATATTCATATATAAAACAGCTGTTTTGTATTGTAATAATATTTCACAATTTATCAGTATTTTTGATCAAATAAGTGCAGCTTTGGTGAGCAGAAGAGATCTCTTACCAGATACTGTATGCCGCCGCCGTCGTCTTTAAAGTGCCTGCAGTTCTGTGGGAAGCGGGACAGCAGGACTTTGATGAGACTCTGGTACCAGGCAGGACTCATATTCAGGAAACAGTCCTAAAAACACAATCACTAAAAGTTTGCAACAACATCGATGATGACAGAATTTTGATTTTGCACTTTTATTAAGATTATTTATTAAGATTTTTGTTAATTATTCAGATTTTATTTTCTTAAAATAGAAAACAGTTCTTTTAAATTGTAATAATATTTCACAATATTACTGGTTTTACTGTATTTTTGACCAAATAAATGCAGCCTTGGTGAGCAGAAGAGACTTTTTTCAAAAACATTAAAAAATCAGGGACAGAATTTTCATTTTGCACTACATGAGATTATTCAGGATTTATTTATCATTTTACGCCATTTCAGCATCAAAGGCTACATTCATGGCAAACTCAAGAAAAATATGATTTAGTCTTATTATACTTCAATGAATTGTATACAGTAATTTAATAATACTATTTTACAAACAGATAAAATAAAAAATATGAATCAAGAAATTAAATATAACAACTATCTACAATCTTTCAAATTGATATTTGATTAAAACATTTTTTTTTTCCCCAGGACAAACTTTTAAGTGTCCATTAATGTACTTTCGGAGTAAAAATGTTTCCTAGTATCATTTAAAGCAGGACACTCAAACAAACAAATATTTGTGCATGTAATATATGAGTGTGCAAAAAAACCTGAATGTTGTCAAAAGTGCAAAATAAAATAAAAAATTACACATATATTACATGCATAAATATGCATGTAACTATAACATGCATTATGCATAAGAAAGCTTCTATGTATATTTTAAACTTGAGTAAAAGCTGAAAAAGATTATTCTGTGTTTAAAAAGCCTTTAAGGTGCTGTAAGACCTGACCAGAATATTTCTCTTTAAATTAGCCGGCCTGTGCACACAAAGCATTGTTATGTTTCAGATCAGATTTCATGCAGGATCTGGCGGCAGGCGAGAGCTGCGGACGCTTCAAGTCAGCGAAACCACAGGAAGGCAGTTTTCACAGTACTGCCGCAGTACATTTTTAAAAAGATGTCATTTGCTGCAAGTTTCTCCTGGTCTGATATCACAGCAGGAGTACATCTCCACTTCCTTTGTGAGCGTGTGCGGCTCTGACAGCGCTATACATCATCCCAGTGCTCAGATTAGCATTAGCAGTCGTGGCACAGGAGCGGCCCGCTCGCTAACATTGACTAAGCCATCCTGCTCGCGTGAAGGGAATACAGAAGTGCAGATGAGGAATCAAACGCCACTGATATGCTTGTTTGGAGAATCTGTGGCTACGGCATCATTGTGTGTCACCGGTGGAAGAAACGTCGCATCTCATTCTCCCAGAGTTCAGCTGGATGTCAGGAGGCCAATGAAAGCAAACTCAGGATCAGGAGGAGGTGAAGACTTCAGGTGGAAGCAGAAGATGGTCAATATGGTCATATAAGTGCTTGCGCTCACAGCACACACACACACACACACACACACACACACATGCAGGTCCTATTCAGAACCTAAAAAAATACTAAAACCGAATGATTTTTAGATTTTTGTTATGTTTCAGCTCTGCAAAACTGTAATAGAATAATGCATGATGGATCAGCCAATAGGGGCAACCGAACACCACCTCATTATCATACTGGAAATATCAGTAGGAAATACAGAAACACCGTAAACAAAAGGCACAAATACAGATATAAATAATCATAACAAAAAAATAAATGATTTTGGCAATGATTTTTTGTTGTTGTTGAATGAAATTAACACTTCTATGATTTTGGCATGCATTAAATTGATCAAAAGTGACATTAAAGACATTTATAATGTTATATTTCAATTAAATGCTTTTCTTTTGAATTTTCTATTCACACAGATAATCCTGAAAAATAAAAATACCATGGTTTTCACAAAAATATGAAGCAGCATAACTGTTTTTATCATTGATAATAATCAGAAATGTTTCTTGAGCAGCAAATCAGCATATTAGAATGATTTCTGAAGCGACATGCATCTGTGCCGTATCAAACACATTTACAGTAACTGCTGCTGTGTAATCGAATCACTGTTGGCGAAGGATGCGGCGTGTGAATCTGTGCACGTGTTGGTCCAGGAGGGATAATTTATGGTGTAAATAAGGAACGGAGTGTAATATTAAAGGGCTGATTTCCTGAGCTAATTAGCTGATGTTTATTGCGGTGTGCTGATGAGTAGGCCGCGTGTTTCCCCTACGGAACGCTAAATTAGCATGTTTGTTGTCAGCCACCCATCAAACAAACTGCACCGAGCCAGCCGCTGATCAAACCGTCCTGAATAAACTGCACAACGAAGGAAAAAAAACATGCAATTTTCCCACGGTTTCTTAAAGACTGCTGTCAGTGTGTACAGGAAGAGAGAGTGCTGCACTTTCCATGAACAGGACGTCCTATGGCTCTTTAAAGTTTCAGAGACACAAATCACAAGTTTTGTTTTATTTTATTTATTTAGAGAACTATTTTGTGAGCATGAAATTAACAAAGTACTTTTAAAACACATTGTTTAAATAATATTCTACAATAGTAGTAAACAATTATTATAGTGTTTACTGCATTTGTCAACAATTCAAACTTGTTACTAGGGATGTAACGATATCAAAATCTCACGATACGATAATATCGACACATGAAGTCCACGATACGATATTTATCGCGATATATATAAAAAAAGACAAATGAAGAATAGAAAAAAATGATGTAGAATGAACATTTTGTAAATTAGTTATTATTTTAACTTTACATTTATATTTATAAAATAATTTTTGCTTTACACTACAGCAGGGGAATTACAATACTTCTTTCCTAATGTCTACACTTGAAAGAGATATTTTGAATTTGGACTGCAGTAACGTTACCCATTTAAACCGCTAGCTGTCAGCAATTCATACTGCACATTTAAGCTTTTATTTTGAAGGAAAACTCCAGCTTCAGTGAAAACAGGCTAACAAAACATATCTCACTACAAATCTAGTGAAATGCTTTAATCATCTGCCGCAAAAATAAAGCATGACTGGTGGCCGTTGCGTTCCCAAACGCGCACTAAACTCACAGCACGTGCAATAAACGAGTTGACTGCATTTATTCAGTGTGAACGGAGCCGTTCACCGGATCACGAGCTGATCACCTGAACGAATTGTGCAGGGCCAACAGGCTTGATGAAGGGATTAAGCCATATTGTGCTTTCGGTTTTAGTTTGTTTGACAGATACGGTACCAAAGCATAATGGCCCAAAACACAACTTTAAAGACCTTTTATGTTAGAATAATAAGTTTAAATATATTTTAAAAATTACACTTTATGCCCGGAAGACCTATCGTTTCATATCATCATGTGACCACGATAATATCGAGACAGTTTTGATATCGCAATATCACAATATTGATAATATCGTTGCATCCCTACTTGTTACCAAAGTTATTTTAAGAACCAAATCAAACAAATACTTAAATTCATGCAAAATCAAGATTTTGGTCCAAACTAGCTACCTAATTTACGGTAAATCGGCAACCTAAATCTATCAAAAATGTATTTAATATTTATTGCTAGATTCAGTTTTTTTTTTTAAATAATTAAATTAAATTACTTTTTTTTATTTAATGAAATTTAATAATCACACAAACAGGGATCAGGGTTTAATTTAATATAATTAAATGAAATTTAATAATCACACAGACAAGGATCAGGGTTTAATATAATTGAATTTTAAATTAAATTAAATTAAATTAAATGACACAAATAGGGATCAGTTGGGGGAAAATATTAAATGTATTTATTAATTTTTAAATAACAGACATAATTAATATTTTCCAGAATAAATAATTTAATCAGATCTATAAAAAAATATTTTTTTTATAGCACTTAATACTAATAATTATTTTATTATTTGTCTTATTAATAATATAAATATTACCTATAACATTACTAATATTATTAATTACATTTTATGTCAGTTGAATTTAATTAAATTTTATTTATATATAAAAAAAATTATTATATGACCTCCTGGTGCTTTCAAAAATGATCAATGAGTATTTATTGAAAAGGTAAAAAATGACCCTATTCAGACCCTATTTTGTACCTATTCATGGAAAGTGGCTGTGAGGGAATGAAGAGAAAGGAACATAAAATGTTAGATGAATGGGTGTGAAAGATGTTCTTAGAGGTGAAGGGCAGTGGATGTGTTTTCATACCAGCTGCGGGTCAATCTCAGAAACCGATCTGCTCTGCACAGCATCCAGCAGCTCTTCCAGTTCACCGAAGGTCAGCTTGCTGAGTTTGAGTTTATCCAGAGCCAAGTACTCTCCATGAAAGAGCCTCCTCCAGAGGTTATCCCTGCGGCAGTGGCCCATGGCCTGCTCCACGCTGCTCTGAATCTGCCGGCGAGCAGACAGCACCTCCGAACTGAGCAGGGGGAAGAGAGGACACAGGTAGAAGAGCCCCTGGGAGTCGTCTGTGTCTGCGTCTGCGTGCAGGAGGCTCTCCATGGGGTCAGACTCAGGGCTGGCTGCAGGGGTGACGGGGGCGGTGGTGTCCTCCCACAGGTCCAGTTCAGATTCCCCGCCGGCCTCCATCCGCTCCGCAGGGACGCGGTCGCTCAGGTCACTGGGGTCACGGTGGATCTGGGGAAGCTTCTTGAAGCGCCGCATGTCTGCAGTCAAACGTGGGAACAGCTCCCTCTGACTGGTCATGATCACATAGAAACGCAGCCTGAAACCAGTATACATGCAACAAAAAAATGTTAGTTTAACAGAAAACAGGAAGTCAGAATAAATATTTCAATAAACATCAATTTTTTTCCTCCATCCAAAGTTTGCTTTTATAATCTATAATGAAAATGTAAACACTTTCTCCACCTCTGAAATTACTTTTCTTTCTGTTGACATAACCATGCAGCTGGGGAAAAAATATGAACTTTATTCATTAATACTTAATATTTTTTAGAATAAATAATTTAATATGATCTATAATATTATTCATTTATTAATGTTATTAATTACAACACATAATAATAATTTATTATTATTTATAGTAATGATATAGATAATATTTATACT